GCACGGAACGCTGTTACCTTCCCACCGAAGTGGTACCTATTTATCTACTTGCAATTTCTTGCTTTCGAACTGCTAGGCTGGCAGGAGCTGGAACTAGAGATGGGAGCTCACTCCATCATGCGGTACCCGGATCTCGAACTGCTGACCTTCCACAGCCTGCAGTTCAGCGTCTTAACCACTTGAGCCACCGCAGCTCCTATTGGTAGTGTGAACACCTGTATGTCAGGCCAACATTAGGGAATCATAGTCCCTGTGTCTTGCCGCAGACAGAGACAGCATATGCCCAAGTACATGTTACATGTGGGATACCATGGGGCTGCCTGGCACTCCACTAGACCCCACGTCTATCAAAACCAGGACCGTCCACTCAGACTGGCAGCGGCTCTCCAGGGTCTCGGGCAGAGAAAGGTCCTTCCCATCACCGACTGCTTGGTCCTCGTAACAAGAGATGCCGGGGATTGGGCCGTGACTCCATGGCAGAGCCTCTGCTCGGCCTGCAGAAGGTCCCGGGTTCGATCCACGGCATCTCGGTGAAAACGACCAGGCGGGAGGTGACCTGAAAGAACTTTCTCTGCAAGAGACCCTGGGGAGCCGCGGCCAGTCTGAGTAGACCAGACTGACCTTGAGGGACCAGTGTCCTGGTTTCTGGATAAGGCAGCTTCAGGCAGTCACTGAACGGGGGGATCTTCCGCATACCAAGCAGACGCCCTACCACTGAGCCGCCAGCCCTCCTGGGTCCACAGTTTATACCCATTACAGGTTGTTTGTAAATGTAAATGCGTCCAAATACGCTGCTAAACTCAGTGCGTCTGTTTCTGTCCAAATAATACTCTCTCCTACAGCCGTTTAGTTCCGCTTTTAGGTCGCAGTGGGCCTGGCAGTTTTGTGTCTTCTCAGACACTGGTTTATATCTGTTTTTTGTCTGTTTTGTTTATAGGAAACAAAAATATAAGCAAAAATTGCTTCTAGAGAACAAAGGCTGACTTATACGGCCACATTCCGCACATAGGCCAAAACAGTACGATTTTATGCGCTGCCAGAAATCACATGGTCTGCTTATTTATTCCCTGCTTTCCCCATAGCTCCAGGCAGCTGACCAATTCAAAATTTGAAAATTGCAAGGATGCCCCACACGAGCCCCACCCCCCCAAAGCATGCCCACCTCGCAGCAAAAGGCCTGGGCAAGCAGAACAGCCTTGCAGTGCCCACTGCGTGCCCCATCTCCTCCCTGGCAGAGCCCCTTCTATAGGGCACTGGTCACAGTGCAAAAGGCACGGAACAGCTGATGCCAGGCAGGCAACCCGAAGACCACAAACTGGAATACAGGGAGGCGGCAGGAAACAGGGTACTCAGGCTCTGGGCCAAGACTCACATTACGGGATGTATTTCAGTTCCCCTCACCAGTGTTCCCCCTAAGCTGAGTGAGTGTGAGCTAGCTCACAGTTTTTTAGCCTCCAGCTGACAGATTTCTGTCTCAGCTCAGGAAGGAGGGCTCCGGAGCAAACTAATTGATGCAGCAGCCAAATCGCTCGCTCTCAACTTTAATGCCAGTAGCTCAACAAAGTAGAATTTCTGCTCACGAGACCCCACTGCTTAGAGGGAGCGTTGCAGCCAGTGTTCCCTCTAAGCTGAGTTAGCATGAGCTAGCTCACAGTTTCTTAGCCTCCGGCTCACCCATTTTTGTCTTAGCTCTTGGAGGATGGCTCCAGAGCAAACTTATTTATGCAGTAGCCAAATCGCTCGCTCACAACATTAATGCCAGGAGCTCACATTCCCTGGTTTTCTCCATGGCTTTGAAATTTCTGGGCCCTTCAGAGCTCTATGCCAGACAAGGGTCTCTCTCTCCCTCCCGCTGACCTGTCCTCTGCAACTTCAATGGCAGTGCTTGGGAGGGGCCGTGGCTCAGTGGCAGAGCATCTGCTTGGCATGCAGAAGGTCCCAGGTTCAATCCCCGGCATCTCCAGGTAAAAAGGACCAGACAGGAGGTGATGGGAAAGACCTCAGTCTGAGACCCTCGAGAGCTGCTGCCAGTCTGAGTCGGTAATACTGGCTTTGGTGGACGGAGGGCCTGATTCAGTATGAGGCGGCTTCATGGGCTGTGGTTTGTTTCCCAGGTTCAGTCCCCGGCATCTCCAGCTAAAAGGACTAGGCAGCAGGTGATGGGGAAGACCTCTGCCTGGGACCCTGGAGAGCCGCTGACAGTCGGAGCTGACTGTTCTGACCTTGAGGACGGATGGCTGGTTTGGCCAGTATAGCTTCACGAGGAAGGAGGGCTCCGGAGCAAACTAATTGATGCAGCAGCCAAATCGCTCGCTCTCAACTTTAATGCCAGTAGCTCAACAAAGTAGAATTTCTGCTCACGAGACCCCACTGCTTAGAGGGAGCGTTGCAGCCAGTGTTCCCTCTAAGCTGAGTTAGCATGAGCTAGCTCACAGTTTCTTAGCCTCCGGCTCACCCATTTTTGTCTTAGCTCTTGGAGGATGGCTCCAGAGCCAACTTATTTATGCAGTAGCCAAATCGCTCACTCACAACTTTAAGGCCAGGAGCTCACATTCGGCTTTGAAATTTCTGGGCACTTCAGAGCTCTATACCAGACAAGGGTCTCTCTCTCTCCCACCCGCTGACCTGTCCTCTGCAGGTTCAATGGCAGTGCTTGGGAGGGGCCGTGGCTCAGTGGCAGAGCATCTGCTTGGCATGCAGAAGGTCCCAGGTTCAATCCCCGGCATCTCCAGGTAAAAAGGACCAGACAGGAGGTGATGGGAAAGACCTCAGTCTGAGACCCTCGAGAGCTGCTGCCAGTCTGAGTCGGTAATACTGGCTTTGGTGGACGGAGGGCCTGATTCAGTATGAGGCGGCTTCATGGGTAATTTAGGCTGTGGCTCAGTGGAAGAGCCTCTGCTTCCTGTGCCAGGTTTGTTTCCCAGGTTCAGTCCCCGGCATCTCCAGCTAAAAGGACTAGGCAGCAGGTGATGGGGAAGACCTCTGCCTGGGACCCTGGAGAGCCGCTGACAGTCGGAGCTGACTGTTCTGACCTTGAGGACGGATGGCTGGTTTGGCCAGTATAGCTTCACGCGTTCATGTGACAAACGGGGAGGGGGGGATTTTGCTTCAAATTCCCACTCAGCTACGAACCTCCATTGAGCAAATTCACTCTCTCGGCCTGCCCGACCTTCACAGGGTGGTGGTCAATGCTCCCTCTAAGCTGTGAACTCTTGTGAGCAAAAATTCTACTTTGTGAGCTACGGGCATTACAGTTGTGAGCGAGCGATTTGGCTGCTACATAAAGTAGTTTGCTCTGGAGCCGTCCTTCCTCAGCTAAGGCAAAAATGCGTGAGCCAGAGGCTTAAAACTGTGAGCTACCTCACACTAACGTAGCCTAGAGGGAACACTGATTGCTGTAATGACAAAAATGGGATACGCCCCAGTATAAACACCCCAGCCTCTTTGCAGGAAGGTTGCCACACAAACACAGGAGGGAGATGGGACTTGGGAAAAGGGGGCCGCAGGTGGGCCTTGCCGCACAGGGACGAGGAAGCCCCTCCCATCCAACCCCCCCCCCTTCGCAGAGGGCGCAGCGCTGAGCTTGACCCTACCTGGATGGCTCCTGTATGCGCCCGGTGAATTATCCAAGATGACTATGCTGGACAGGTCGTTGTGTACGACCGAGAGGTCCTTGATGTAACTGCCCAGCTCCAAAGTGCAGTGCTGGAGAGAGAGAGAGAGAGAGAAGCAGCACCCATCAGCCTTCTCTCAAAACGGACTCCTCTCATGCCTGGCTGCCCCCTTGCTAGGGAGGCACCTCCCAGGACCCCAAGGAAAAAGGGATCAGCCAGTGCGGTCATCATGGGCCGCGGCAGGAGGGCATCGCCAACCGGAAGAAGTCCGTGCGGCCTGGCCAGGGACAGCCACTGAGAAGAGACTGCCCAGTTACCATTCAGTTCCACAACGGAGGAGCCGGGAAAGCAGACAAAGATCGCGATGGAACCTTCCCTCCTGCAGTCCGGGATCCACAGGGGATCCTTTCACACACACCCTGACCCACAGCCACGGGGGTGAGGGGCACGAGGCCTACCTGTCTGTAGTATCTCCTCTTTAAGATGCTCCTACTATTGTCTAGCTTGTCGGCCACCGCTGAGCCGTAGATTTCCATGCTGGCTGTAAAGACCACCAGCTCATACCACTGGCTCACCTGGGGAGAGGTGGGGGGGGGGAAGCAAAGCAGACAGAGAGCAGAAAGGTCAGCGGCTGCTGGGGCCGAGCGCCACACACACGCCCCAACAAGCCCAAACTGAAGGCTTGGTTTAGGCCCCGACCCGTCCCCCTTGTTGGATGCCTTGGAAAACCGTTCTGTTAAGAGTCCAGTCGCACCTTAAAGGCTAGCAAAACTGGTGGGAGGGGTAGGCGCTTTTGAGTCATTGCTCACTTCTTCAGATAACCTTCGGTCAGCAGTGACTCACAAACGCTCCTCCCCTGCCACCGATTTTGTTAGCCTTTAAGGGGCGACTGGACTCTGTTGCTACAGGCAGACTAACACAGCTCCCCCACCTTGATCTAGTTCTCTTTAAAACTCTCCCGCCAACACGTCCAATGCACAAAGCCCCCCCCCCACCCCAGATCCCTTCGATGGTTTAACTCAATAGTTCCCAAAGTTATCACAAGGAGCAGGGCTTTTTTGTAGACAAAGCCCAGCAGGAACTCATTAGCATAATAGGCCACACCCAACAGCAGGAACTCATTAGCATAATAGGCCACACCCATGACATCACGTCTCATTAGCATACCAGACCACACCCCTAACACAGTTCATTAGCATATTAGGCCACACCCCCATGCCTTCCCTTGGCTTGCTTGGGCACGTCCCCCCTTGAAGGGAAGGGAAGGCTGAGGAAGGCATGGGGAGGCATTTAAATGCCTCCCTGATCCTTCCAGGGCCCCCCTGGCCCGCCCGTCTCGGAGTCGCCAGGGGGTCGCTCTCCAGGCCTTCCGTCTGTAGCCATGCACACGCAGAGGTTTTGGCTGTAGTGGGCGTGGCCAACTCTGAAGCCAGCCGGAACGCCGTTCCTGCCCAAAAATAGCCCTGACAAGGACTGCAATGAATCCACGTGTGCACGGAGCACTGTCATTTTTATTATTTCTTGTCACAATGTATTTTCTCAACCAATGGATACTTAACAGGACAACTACTATCACTGGCCGTGTGTGTGCGTGGGGGGGCGTTCCTGCAAAAAACAGATCTGATGTTAAAACTATGCCAGCTTTGCTCATCCGAGCGGGGCCTTCTGCAGGGGCCAACCCACAAGTGGGCAAAGTCATCCACTGCCCGTACATGCGAGGCTCCACCGTGGGTCCCCCAGCCTTATGGAATGCCTGCTCAAGGCAGTCAGGACGAGTTCCCGTCTCCCGGCTTCTTGCAAATGATGGGAACGGAATGATTCAAGCGGGCTTTTTCTATGCGGGTCCACAGGAGACCGACGTACAACATGATTCACAAAGTTACTTGGGTAACTGATTAGGGACTGCGGTCTAGACTACTGGGTACAGTTTGCTGCAAGTTGGATCCTGCCGTGTAATCTCCCCTCATTTCACCTGTCCTGTTAACAATCCGCGTTGCTTCAGTTTCGTTTTTCAAATTTCTAGTTGGTTCTACGACTCAAATCCTATTTCATTGTTTCATTCCCTGAATGTCCCGTCCTGTGGATTGCATCGATTCGCTCTGTGTAATCCACCAGGGAGAAAGGCGACCAGTGAGAAAGGAGGACTAGAAGTAACGTAAATTAAATAAAAAATAAAGGGGGCCCTCCTCAGAGAGTTTGGGAACCCCTGGTTGAAGCTATCTCCTTTGCACTCCCCCCCTCCCATGAGGTCGGGAGAGAGACTGAGGATACCAGGACCCATTAAATATCTATGTTGAATAAAAATTAAAATGTTTTAAATATCTATGTTGAATGTTTTAATACTGAATTCTGTAGTTTTAACTGGTTTTTAAATTGGATTGGATTTTATGCTGTCGTAAACTGCCCTAAGCCCCGCAAAACGGGGAAGGGCGGTTAAGAAATCGAATCAAATAAATAAAACAAATAAAATAAATACATAAAACTTATTTTCTTCTGTTAAAATAACAAGAAAAAATGGCGCTAAGATCGACAGGAAGTTCAGACCCCTTCCTGCTAATCAAAGGCATGCCCAATGGATGGGGAAGCTGTGAACATGCTCTCTGCATATGCTCAGAGGCCCTCCTGATAATCACACATGCCAGAGCACAGCCTGGAGATGCCTCTCATGCCTCTGAACGACGTGTGCTCCGGCCCACCCAACCCCCTCCGGAGGCAGGCTCCCCACATCCTGCACTAACGGATGCTTCCTGGCCACGCACACAGAGGCCACGTGGCATCCACGGAGCCTTGAGGTTCGAAAGGCCAGAATGCAGGCTGAGCGGACTGTTGAGGGTAAGAAGCGATCGAGCAGGTGAAATGAAATCTGCCTGTTCTGACTCCCCTTTCTGGCCGAGGAGCAATAATAGACGCCATCGATAATAAAATCTTGTGTTTGTGAGCATCGTGTGCTCCAGAAGCGCAATGCAGGGAGGGGAGGGGAGAGGGACACAAGCTGGGCCAGAGCCGAAGGGTTAAAGCTGTTCTATACGGGTAGAAGGAGGACAGGCAGGCAGACACCAGGGAAGCCCCGGAGACTGGCAGATCCAGCCAGGCAAGGGCTCAGTGCCGCACTCTGCCCTCGACCCAGGCAGGGCCAAACCTCATCTTTGTCTCAGAGACCAGACGAGCTGGTTCCAGGGCGTTTGCGCCACCTGACAGGGATCTCGGGTTCAAGGGCTGCGACAGAGGTGGTTGGGAAAGAAAGAACAAATGTAAAGAAAACAGTCGTGAGCGTCTGATCCACAAATCAGGCAGTCAACAAGACTTGCAAAGAAAATGCTTTCTGTATATTATTTTCAAAAAGCACTAAAACACAACGAACAATGAGACGCCTGGGATCCATCAGAAGCTTAGCAGCATACTTGAGCCTGAATACTTATTGAGATCAGCGTCCTATCTAAATCAGTGTTCCCTCTAAGCTGAGTGAGTGTGAGCTAGCTCACAGTTTTTTAGCCTCCGGCTCACACATTTTTGTCTTCGCTCAGGAAGGAGGGCTCCAGAGCAAACTAGTTTATGCAGCAGCCAAATCACTTGCTCACAACTTTAATGCCAGGAGCTCACAAAGTAGAATTTTTGCTCACAAGACTCTACAGCTTAGAGGGAGCACTGATCGAAATGTATTATCTTTCCTGATTTTTTGTAAAGCACTTTGTGAGCATGATAGCTTTTGTACTACTCTAATGTTTCCTGAGGAAGATCCAATTTTGAAACGTCGTTATATAATCCAGAGATGGCGTTGACATGTTTTCACACAAGGATTTTCTTATGATTTGACGGAATCGGTTCGTTGTGTTGCGGTGCTTGTTGACAATAATATACAGAAAGCATCTCCTTTGCAAGTCTCGTTGACTGCCTGATTTGTGGGTCAGACTCTCACGACTGTTTTCTTTACAGAGCTGGTTGGGCCATTATCGTTCTCTTCCAAGACGGGTACCAACAGTTCCGGTCCAGTTGCCGGGACCATCCCACCTGGCTTAAAGAGACTCAAGCCCTGTCCTGCCACAACACTTATTATCCCAAGCACCCCCGGGGCCAAAGCCCTCCTCGGCTCTGCTGGGTCTGGCTGACATCTCGCTGTCAGGAAGGAAACAGGCAGAGAGGCATCCTCCCCCGGAACTTACTTCTGAACCCACATCAAATGCCTCGCATTTGAGGCTTGCTTCCGAAGGTCAAAACAGAAAATCGGCCACCCCGGCCAGGCAGGGCCTCTCAGTCCATCCCAGCCAGCCTGTGGTCCTTGGTGGGCTTCCCCTTGGGGAGGCATCAAGTGAATGACCCGAGGCGCTTATGAAGGGGAGCCTTCGAGGCCATCTAGCCCAGCCCGCTGCTCGGTGTAGGCAGCCCAAAGCTCGAGCCTCTTCGGCAGATCGCCACCCACGCCCCACGTGCGGACACCCAGCCGGGGAGAGCCCATCGACTGCCTAACTGGCTCCCGAGTGAAACTGCTCTCGCCCTCAGGAAGTGTCTCCTCACAGTCAGCTGCAACCCACCCTCCTTGCAACGCAAGTCTGAGAACGGAGCTTGGCCCGTGGGACACGCTTTATCTGGAGAGCACTTTCACGTCTCCAGGCAAAATGTCCTCGCTCCTTCAAGCACCAATCACGTGACTTGTTTTCCAGTCTTCCGACCATCTTACTTGCCCGGGGGAGGGCTGAACAAATACTGACACACCTCTTTCGCACACGCGTCCTGGGAACCACGTGAAGCAGACAACCCCACTCTGAATCCTGGACGGGAACCACGTGAAGCAGACAACCCCACTCCTGGATCGCAGGAGACCGGCCCTTCATTCTCACCCCCACAACACACACCCCATAAGGAGGTTCTGTCGGCTTACCACTTCTAGAAAAAAGTCCACGTGCGGCCTCTTATGTACAAAAAAGCGGACTGGGTGCTTGTCTATGACAACCTGGAAAAGAGGGGTGGGAGGAAAGACATTTAGCAGAAGCCGGGCCAGACCTTGATTCCCATGCCGCGCCTTGACGAGAGCGTGCACATGCCCCTGGGCTGTGAGCCATCCTTTCCCAAGCCACAACAGGAGAGGGCACCAGCGTCAAGGGCAAAGAGAACCCCCTCTGGCTTCACAAGGGTCTTCCAAGGCCGGAGGGCAGCAAGAGATCGGAGGGACTGTGAGGTACCTTCCATGGAAGGCTCAACAGAGATATTGGGGGGGGGGGGAGTTTGGCTGAGATATTGC